CCATAGAGAAGGTGTTTGGGTGCCTCACAAACTCTCTGATGATCATAGTTTCCACACATGTGAACGTTGCTTCATCTCTTCTGGCACGTGAATCATTTTTGGACAGAATTGTCACTGGTGATGAAAAATGGATTCTCTAAGCGATTATTAAATGCCAAAAACAATGGCTCAGTCCCAGACAAAAAACTACTTCCAACCCCCAAACCTGGACTCCATCCAAAGAAAGTAATGCTTTGCATTTGGTAGGACATCAAAGGAGTAATTCATTTCGAACTCCTCAATCCACAGCGAACTGTTAATGCAGAGATCTATAGTCATCAACTGGGAAGTTTGAATAAAGCCCTTCATCAGAAACACCCTTCACTCAATTGGAGAGGTGTTCTTCTTCTCAATGGCAATGTATGTCCAAATGTGGCACGTTTGACACAACACAAGGTTATGGAGTGGGTTGGGATATTTTCCCCCACCCACTATATTCTCCAGATATGGCACCATCAGATTACCATCTTTTTTGTTCACTGCAACACCATCTTAATGGGAAAATGTATACAAATGTGGAAGGTATTAAAGAGAGCATTGACATGTTTTTTGCTTCAAAGCCTAGTGATTTCTTTAATCAGGGCATTAACAACTTGATTGTAAGATGGAAAAGCATCGTCGATAAGAATGGAGACTAATTCATTTAATAAATATTTTGTTTTGACATACATGTTATTTGGGTTTTTTCATCTAAAAAAAGTGACATTAATTTCTTGACTACCTAATATATATATCAGCCGCTGTTAATGTTCATTAAGGTTCTAACATGCATACTATCTTCACAAAATGTTCATCTACTTGCAAACTGTCAGTCATTCTCTTTAAACCATATTTGGGAATAAACTTAAATATGCACAATATGTAAACTCAATTAATCAATATAATAAATTACCTATGGGCATTGATCAGTGTCACGTAAAATAATCAATTAATCAAAATACATATAAATCAGTTAATGTTTCTAATTATTAATGCTTTTAATTATTCTAACTATCCAAGCAATCAAAACATTGGCGTTATGATTTCTCATTATTTTAGGTTAATTCAAGGTTGTTAAATCCAAGTCTAATGAGAATATCTGTTAGTTGAATGTAATCAATTAATTATACCAAAAAAATTGAGTACTAAATTCCACTAATCGCCCAGCTTTATTCATACTTAAAATACAATCAATTTATATATACAGACACACACATTTACATTTAAGGTTTAAAGAACACATTTATCAAAACCTTTTGCTAAACTCTCCTGGGGGGATTTTTTTTTAATGCATACTGGCAAGAATACCTATATCTGTACAAACTTTCAAATACTATTATTATACATGATATGAAAAATTACATTTATTCTATGCACCAAATAAGTAAGTTATTAACAGTCACTTTTCTAGTAAAACTGTTAAATTTTACAGTGCTCCATAATTCAAAATAATACCAATGTTTATTCTGTCCTTTTCAAAAACTAAAGTTAAATCAATGTTAGATTTTATTAAATTATTTATTGCAGTTCTCAAAAATACTAATGATTTTGATTCTCAGTAAAGTTTCTAAGTTATTTTGCAAATAAAAAAATCACTTAAATATATATATATATCCAGAGTTTACAAAATATCTAACAGGGTTTCATCCACTTTGTAAAACTTGTTGCAAACTTTCTATATTGCTGAAATTATCAACTAACTTTAAAACAGATACATCATATTAAACAAGTGCAAACTATGTTTATGAAACACCTGGAACCCACTCAACTTTTACTCCTCACAAGTCAATCAGGTCTAGAATTGTATCATTTGTTTAAGTTTAGTCAAAATCCATTCAATCTAATCTTGAGATATCCTGTCCAGAAATCAACAGAGAGGAGTAAACCAATGTTCCCCACCCTGCTTCACTATGGGAGGATAACAATTGTACAAATTGTAAAAATGCTATGTGACTAGTATCTTTCGCATGGTCAGTTTATTATAAAATAATCTTAATATGAAATTTCTCTACCTGGCACGCCAAATGTATTCACCAAAATGAAGAAACATGCACCAGTTTCTTAGTTCTGTATTCTCTATTCTTTTATGGTCTAAAATTATTTTTAAATGCAAATTATTAATGGCTATAGACATATGTAAATAATGCATAGTATTGTAAGAAACCACTTACTGTAAGAACAACAGATACAACTTCAATACAATAATTCAATTTTTTATTAATTAATACAGGAACACAATCTAAGTACTTCTGTTTCTATGGCAGTCTAATGGAAGAATAAACTCTACAGCAAATATGTTAATATAACACATGAAGATAATTTCAGTTTCACTGAAGCAATGTAAAAATACTACACTGTTTTTTATATAAAACTATGAAAGGTACTGTTTTATTACAAAACAATTTTCCCCCCTCATATGTAGATTTTTCTTTCTAGGGTATTTAAATTATTTTCTGGTTCAGCAAGTTCTGTATCATAAAACAAACTTCATTACTTTTAATGAATCTTTTTGTTTGATGAGAATTCCCAGTAAGAAAAAGACAGAACCAGAGTTGTAGAAGTAAATAACATTCAACAAAACAAAATCAATCACAATCTGACACATATCTATTGGTCCTGGATAGGAATAGTTTCCTGAAAATTGCCTTTGTAAATGCAGGGGTTAAATTGGGGCAAAACAGTCATAGAAAAAAAAAAAAAAAGAATTCCACCTTTTGAGTATTCAAACCATCAGCATCCCTAAGTCTTCTGATTTGGATCACAAAAGGGAGTTCCACCTCTTTCAAATTCCCAATTTAACCATTTTGTAAATAGCAGTTTGTACTAGAATAAGTTCCTTACTCATACTTGGTCTTAAAATATAAGTCAAAAATATTACAGCACCTAGATATTTTAAAACAATAATTAATCATCATACCTACTAACCTACTGCTCCTTGTTATGGTGTAGGCCTCATTCCTAATTTAATATTTATAGAAACAATTTTGAGACACAAGTAACTTGGATTTAAACTCTGTATTACAATAACTGTTCATTAGTTGTGATTAAATGTGCCTTAATACATACACTAATTAACAATAAGAAAATATTTTTAATCATATAAGCTATAAATCAGGGGCGAAATTCTGCCACTACTGAAACTTATTCT